CTAAAAGTTTATGTTTGTTACAGATGTCATTTTCCGAAAATGGAGTCAGTTGGAATGTTGGTGAATTCGTGATTTCCTTTTGTAGAACATCAATGTAAAATTTACGTCAAACAATAATGATATTGTTAGCAGCCTTATCAGCCGGCACAAAAATATATTTCATGGCGAGTTCTTTTAGCTTATGTTTGATACGGGAAATTGGGCTATTATGGTTGTTGTTAGGAGTGAAATGATCTTTAAAATGTTGAATACGTATATCAACTATGTTCATTACCGAATAAAAAAAAAGAATCTAATGATTTCTTGTCAGCTTTTTCTCGTGTTATCCATTTAGAGCAGTAAGTACGGAGTGAGTCGTGGATGATATTTTGACACTCATTCCAATTAATAATTGACGGGGGAAGATATTTAGGTCCTTTACTGAGGAATGATTTCTACTCTCGGTCACGAATGATGTTAAGGTCTCCTGTTATAACATGGGAGCTGGGGCCATAAATGTATTCGGATTTACTGCAATTTCATGAGGTAGGTTTATTGTCACTGATATTAACATCTTTACACACTTCGCTGTAATTAAACACATATTTCCGGGTAGATTTTTTGTAAACATAACAAAAAAAGAGGGAGTTCAGTATTATCAAAATAGCCTGGAATTTGTTCTTTAACAGAATGATCATTAAAAATACCGGCAATATTTACAAAATCAAAACCTTTATTGACATATTTAATTTTAATAAAATATTTTTTGTGATCTTAAGGGCGATCAATTTTGGGAAACAATTTAGAATAACAATATGCAATTATGATTTGGACGATTTCATACTTAGGACTGCAATATGGAATTGTGTTGCATTCCTCCGAAATTTGATGTAATTCATTAACAGGCAAAGAACAGAGCTTGGTTGATAAATAGTGCCTACCGTTGTTTTTTGAAAAAGAAATTAGGTCCGAAATATTTGTATTGTTATTACGAAATTTTCTTTGATTGTGATTTATTCTACGCCTATGAGAACGGTTTTTACGTACTGTTTTAGAAACTATATCCAAAATGTTAACAGAACCTGTTCTAAATATATTACCAATTCCCATGATATTGTCGTTAAGACCGAGAAGATAGACTGTCTGTAATTCTTTAATCCAATTTAATTCAATTATTTTTCGTGATCGTACAAATTTTGAATGAGATTCCCCAGGCTGCTTATTAACTACTTCTAAAGGTTGAACTGTTAAATATTTAAAAGGATGATTGTGCTTCTTAAGGTGTTGATAAATGATACTTTTGAATTTATGGGGTCATTTAAAACGATAAAGGTGTTCTTGCGTGCGTTTTGATAAATATCGTTCAGTTTCACCTACGTACTGAATACCGCATCCCGGTTTGTTTCATGTGAGTAAATATATAATACTGTTAGTTTTTCAAGTGATATCAGTTTCAAAATTTAGGGAAAATGTGCGACCATTAAACGTGGACCTTACTGTATTGTTAGTGGAAAAACGGGGACATGTAAGTCATTGTTTGGCATGACACTTATAGATAGAGGGGAAAACACGATTTTTGTTATTAAAAATGTTAGCGATTGTAGTATTTTTAGATAATCGATTTTGAAGATTGAGACGTGTAGATACCCTTTGAACGAGTTTAGTATTAAGTATTTTTCCATTTCGAAGTTTCATGATTTGTTTTTTGTTATATGTTTTACCAATTGAAAGGAGCAAACAATGGCGTCCAGAATATGAGCCAGCAAACAGGAATATAAAAAAGTAAAAATGATAAAACTCTTATGTCCACATAAAATAGTTTAGCTACTACAAAGGTTAAGCAAAAAAGACGAAAATTGGAAGGCACTGACTAATGTTTTATTTAGGCAATATATATTCTTTCATATGATCTAGTCAGACCATTTAAACCGATTACTACCTAATCAAGGAAAAATAACAGCACTTTATAAATTTATTGCGTTTATAGCGCTTATCTTGATGTACCTGCATTAGGAACGCTCATACTAAAATAGTGAAAGCCAAGGATTATAAGTACCTAAATGCATGCGGTAACACAGGTGATGGGCTTTATCACCAATTTGGACCCACAATAATACAACCAAATCTAAAAAGAGAATGATGTTTCCGATGAGTTTAAGGCAAACAAATTTAACAAATACCAGCAAAGTAATTGATAGCTTTAATAAAATATAATGCATCCTCATGAGAGCGCTAAAGAGGACAAGTCTAATGCATAAAGCAGCAGACAGAGTAATCTTCGGATATCCTTAACATTGTTAAGATGTTACTTTACGATTCAACAAATGCCTTTGTTGTCTGATGTTAACCAACCTTTAGTGTATAGAAAAGTATTAACAAAAATACCGAACTCCAAGGTAAAGTAAAAAAGGGGGAAGTTCATAAAACCTGACAAAATCAAACGCTCGACGATATCAACCAACGAAATGAATGGAAAAGAATTGTCCTTTTCCCGATTATAAAGCTATCCACCTATTAAAATATTCATCAGGTTTTTTTAATCGGTAATTACATTGCCCTCTGCTGAAGAACGATACAATATAAAAAGAGGATTGTCAAGAGTTTGAATGAACAGTTAGATCCTTTTGATTTCTCCCTTAATAGAAAATACAGAAAACCTGGCTTTTTGTTATATTGGAAATTATTACATACATTACATTTATTCTGGTCATGAGATACCTTAATGAAAATCAGTCATCTGAAATCTGGCTTTCTATGTGACAATAATGACGCGATGACTTCTAAGATTGATGCAGGCCTAATATCTAGAAGAGACATTACCATTTACTCTTTATTGTCACATTGTCACATTTTCACATGAGAATTTAAGCTCACTCAACTATCCATGGTTTCGGTTTCGGTGTCAATCTTAGTTTCGGTTACGGTTTCGGTTTCGGCTTATGGTGAATATCTGATATTCGATTTATCCGAGCGAATACTGTGTACGTTTTGCTTTGAAAAAAATGTTTTCTTAGTTTCAATTGAAAACTGCAAGAGATCTTGATGTGTTTGATTCAATTTATTAACGTCGTTTCAAACAATATGACGTCGAAAGTAAGTCTGTGTAAAAGTTCCGACGCAACCAATGGAAATAAATACACCATATTTAACTGTCGAAAAATGTGCATAGATGCAACAATAGAAAATCGTTTATGTGATTGTGGTGTTAATAAAGAAACTTAATCCGAAGTAACTCGGCACCGCAGTGACATAGTTAGGGAAAACAAAAACAGGTGAAACAATGCGAAGAAATGCATGTAAAAATTGTTGCGGTGATGTTTCTTCAAATTAGGAATTGTGAAATATCCGTGAGGGAAATCAGGAATTTGACACTAATATTAATGTGAATTTGAAGTAAATAAACATTTATTAGGTCTTTCCACTTTCCTGTGGAAAGACCTATTGTATTTGTTCTGATTATTATCAATATTTTTTTCTTCCGCCAAATTTTGTTCTCACGTAAAATGTTTGTTTCGCTAAGATATTTCTTATATAGTATCATACAGTTTATGCGATTTTTATTTTCACACATTCTAAGCCGAACAATTTTCTTTGTAAAAGTTATCTCACTATTCACTGTTTATCAAGTGTGTGCATCTCCTTCGTAACAAAAAAAAAGATATCGACAAAATTCTTTTTCTAAATTGTTTGTTACATCCTCAGGAAGCGATTCGATGAAATTTTATAGGAGTTATCTACCTTTACCAAATAAATTTGTCGGTACGTTTTTTTAACTCATAAACCGTTAACCGTATAACCATGGAATCTTTTTATTTGAGGTCCCTAGGTCCTAACTTAGAAAATGAGGTCAAGGTCAAAGGTCAAGGTCAAGTTCTCAATTTTGACTTTTCCTTGTTTTTGAATTTTCTCCAACACTTTTAAAGATATATATGGATAAACAAGTGCAAAATGTTTGCTTTATTGTAATGAAGATATGTTACATTTGGTTTGAAACAATCTTATGGCATCTTATAGGAGTTAGTGCCCCTGAAATGTCTAATTATAAGGTTAATTGATTATTACTTCAACTTGGCTCATTATAAAGCCATATGACTATTTACAAAAGGTTGGGTGACATATGACCTTGAAAAATTACAACTTGGAGTGACCCTCAGACAACCGGAAATATCCATTTTTGCACTTTCTTCATGGAAAAGTACTCGGAATCCATATATTTTGTAATTTTTATACATTAACTTATCACTAAAGACTAGAATTGACTTTCGATAAACCGGAAGTGGCCAATTATCTCCTGGTTTACAGGCAAAAGTATATAGAAACTATATTTTTGGAATCAGTATGAAAGAAACTATCATATGAGACCGGAAGTGACATTTACTTTACCGGAAGTAGCTTATTATCTCCCTTTTGTCACTCAGAAGTATATAAGTCTTATTTATCGCATCAGTATGAAGAAACGGATTAGATGCCAATTTTAACTTTGAGTAAACAAGAACTAGCTTCTTTCAATACATTTTAAATTTGCTGTTGAAAGACCTTCAATTGATCTCTGAACAATTGGTTTTTAATTTCTTTTTTTTTTCTTTTTTTTAAACCAAATTCATGTCTGATTTATCATAGGTTTCAGTGATATTCCTTTTCAATCATCTTTAATTTATGAAAAAGAAATCATGCCTAATGAAAAGAGAACCGCTACACAAATTATCTGAGATTTGCTTTCAAAAGACAAAAGGAAAATCAACCTGTCAACGTGACAAAAGTCTACAAATATATACATTTAACTAAGTTTAAAACGTAGCCAGCATCTGTTGATCTTTGTGTTATATTAACTCAAATTTATTTTGACTGAATTTTCATAAACTTTTGTGTAAATTTTCTTGTTTTGCAGAAATGATCTCCTAAGCATATACTTAGACGGTTTATACATGTATAGTATTAAGTTATTTTTGATTGAGCAGATTAACATCTGCATTGTACTATAATTTAATTCATTCAATAACATAAATTCTAGTGTCGGTCATATGTTCTTAATAGTAATAGAAATAAATTAATTTTTGTGAAGCAATTTCATATATAAAGCAATATCATTACATCATAATATATTACAGAATATACTTGGAAACACTGACAGACAAATATGGTAAGTCCGGTTTCGGTATATTCCATTTGATTCAAATTACACAACATACTAACTTACAGAAATATCACAACAATTATTTTAATAAACATTCATAGTTATTTTTGAGGAAAAACATTAGTGCCAGAACACTGCTGAACAGACGCAAAATTACACAGTGTATGGCGAAACTCAGCAAAGATCCGTTGAAGTAAATTAATATGATCAATTTGAAAACATTTACCGTTACCTTGATGATATATTTACCTTGAACAATCAAAACTTTTTAAAGGAGTAGGTCCGGTAAGGGTCGATTTTGGCCTCAAAATTCAAGTTCATCTGATGAAAGATTTTGGACACTTTTTAAACACTTAAGTGTCTACTTCAGTCGATTCAATCAGTTGATGTGCAAGAATTGAACTGATTTAGTCATTAAAGAATTTACCCAAGGGAACTTATTTTTAAAAATCGAATCCAGACTGCAATTATTGTATTTTTCTAGATTTTGATAATTCAGATACACACGGGAACCTCTACACAAAAATTTACGTAAAACGACGTTTTTTGTTTCATTGGTTAAGTTGGCATTTTTTGGATGGTGATAATCTTTTGGCCTCATTTTATATTTAACAGTTTGTTCGCTATGCCGGTCTCGGAAGTTGCTACTAAAATTTCAATGAACGTTCTCTATGCACAACTGGTAAATTATGAAGTCAAGGATTTCTTTATCACAAGTAAAATAAACTTTTAAAAATTAATTATTTCATTGATGCAAAGATTTCGTTTGAATATCTGCTGTACCTCTATATTTCTTATGAAAAAAAGGGATATCACATTCTCATCTTACGGTGATGTTGTTTAAAGGACCCGTCAATTTAAAAACGATCCATGTTAACTCATTGAGTCTTTGAATAATCTTATTCTCAATGGTAATCAGTATAACAACGTAGTAAGATCTTAACGTATTGTTCTTATCGGTACTTACATTGATTTTGTTTTTGAAAAATTCAACCATAACTAAATATATATTGCTATATATGTACAGTTATCATGGTTATGAGTACTCGTGATCGTACATCCTGTCGATAATGTTTACTTATATTTTATATTGCACAAGGACATGCGTTTCCCGGGCCGTTTACGACGTCTTTACACTGAATATGTTGGATTTGGATGCGTACTGATTGCTACTTTATCTAGGAGAACATGATTTATGTATTAGTAGCCATTTTCTTTAAGCTACCTTTCAGTAACTGTTAGTACTCTTATATCGCTAATTTGTTTCTTTTTCTTATGTTATAAAAAAATGAGATGTGGTATGATTGCCAAAGAGATAACTATCCACCTAAGTTCAAATGAAGTGCATGTAAGTAGTTATAGGCAGACGAACAGCCTTCAACAATGAGAAAAATCATACCGTATAGTCGACTATAAAAGGCCCCAACATGAAAATATGAAATAATTCAAGCGAGAAAACTAACGGCCTAATTTATAACAAAACAATTTACGAAAAACAAATATGGCATTCATGAACCAACGACAACCACTGAACTATAGGACTTTGAACTGGCACAAAAAGAATATGACAGGGTTAAACATGTTTGTGAGCGATCAAACCCGCCGCCTAACCCAACAATGGTGTTACAGCACAACATAAGAACAAACTATAAAAATCAGTTGAAAAGGGCTAAACTCATCAGATCGATATAATAAAGCAGAAAAACATTTAACAAAAACACAAACCGGATGTGGTAGGGTATTTGTACATCCCAAACAACAAAAAATACACAAAGTTCAGATCTGAAAGTGCTCGCAGTTACTGACAGCTAGTTCAAAACCAATAACAACTTATAAGAAAAATCATGTATTTAGGACTAAAATATCAATCAGTTCACATGCAACATCCAATGGATTTAGTGTAAAGACAACATAAACAGTCAGAGAAAAACATGACTTTGTGCAATGCCAAAATATAGGTATCGACAGATTGTAGTACCGTTAAAATACATATGTGTATAGCAATAATATTTAGTATGGTTTTAATTTATTGATAACATAATCAATATGTATACCAATAAAAACAATATTTAAAGATCTAATTACAGTGATGAATTGGTAACCTATTAGATTAATTGTATTTAAAGGATTGATAATTTTACCCGGATAGTATCTAAATATCCGGGCAAAGTATACAACATCACCGTAAAATTAGGGATGTGCTAATCCGTTTGAAATAAGGTTTCCATAGGTACAGCCAAACTTGCAAACCAAATTTTTGTATCTATGGAAGAATTTAGTAAGAGTTGTAAGTAATTTGTGGTCACGAAATCCCTGACTTAATAATTTACCAGTTATTTATATTACGTTCACTTAAATCCAAAATGTCACTACAAACACGGGCATAGTGAACGAGTTGGGACATATAAACACCGTAAGACGGTGCTAAAGGAACATCACCGTCCAAAAGAGGAAAATTAACAATAGGTATAGGAAAATCATTCCTTTTGTCGGAAATGTTTGTGTAGAGTTTCTGGTGTAAAACTGAAATATCTTAATCTACGAAAAGACAGTTATTGCTTTTAATATATGATTTACTTTAAGTAAGTTCCTTCTGGTAAATTTCGGCTTTATATTTAGAGAATGCTTGATTATTTAACGAGAAATTTTTATTAAGATAAGGTAAGTGTTGTTGAATCTATCAATTAAATGGAATTCAGACGGGTCTTCACTGAGTTTGGACATAAACTGTGTTGCATGGAAGTGTAGTATAAAGAGTCGAAAAGTCAAAACTGTCAACCAAATCAAAAGAAACTTCAAAAGCACGTAATTTATCTAAAACACTCCAAAAATGGTTAAATCAACTATGTCCATATGTTTTATTACAAAAAATAATGATAAGTTCTTTGATAGTAGTTAAGGAACTCGTTGATAGCACAGAAAGATTAGTAGTAGAACACTTTCTCGAGGCCGTGATGAAACGATATTTTACAGGTTTTTTGTGCAGCTTAGGTAACAAATACATAGTAGGGACCTTCAAATGTATAGAGGAGGCCTTAATCTGAGCTGTGGTAGTGACATGATTATTTACTATATGACCCTCTGTGGATTGTACGACCTTGAATGTAGTTGAATGTATACTTTCATTCTTAAGGACTCCCGTGTAGTATTTACGTCATACCACCACCACATTGTTGGCTGCTTTGTCGAGCGGTACCAACACAAAACGTATTGTGAGTACTTGAATTGTGTTTTTTTTTTAGAAAATACTCTTTATGATCTTCATGTTTGTCAATTTGAGGACACAGTCTATGGTGACAACTGATGCATTCAATTTGTTCTTAAACTGTGATGTTACACCATTGTCCTAGATTAGGAAAAATTTGATCCCTCACAATTATGTATAACCCTGCCAAGTTGTTTTATGTGCTGTATCATGTCAAGAGCCTGTCATTCACTGGTTGTCGTAGGTTCATGTTTGAAACATACGATTTTCGTTAGCTATTTTTATGGATAAGTAAGTTTGTTTTCACGTTTGAATTGTTTAAAATTTTTATATTGGGACCTCTTATAACTGACTTGATGGGTTTTTGCATTTTGGAACTCCATACGATGACAGTACGGTTACCTATAGTTGTAAATTTCTATGCCATTTGGCCTCTGTTGGAGAGCTGTTTTTATTGGTAATCATACCACCATTTTTATTGTTATATAAATAGCATCTATTCACGTCGTTTTAATCCTGGTGGATAGTTGTTTTATTGGCAATTATACAATATCTCCTAATTTTTGAAAAATATATGATTACACAAAGTTGATTTTTGTTGGAATTTGCCTTACTTTATAGGTGCCCCCCTTTTTATATCATATAAGTCCTTATGTATTTAAATATTTTTAAATTCTTTAATTTTTAGATGTAAGTATATTGTTTGTTATAGTAACATGTGTATAATTGTATAGCAATGAAGGTAATTTAGAGCAATTAATATAAGAATACCCAGTCCATTGGACCTATATGCTACCTTAATGTTTGGATGTGAATGTTTCTGATTAAGGATAATCCAAATGAGCGCTTTGAGCACACCAAATTTAAAACTATTGTTCTTATTGTCTAACACATGGTCGATACCGCTGCTTGTGGACAGCTAGTCCCCATGGGTTTCATCAGCTCAGTAGTGAGTACTCCATTACTGGTATGATTTATAACATACCTCTAACTTAAGTTTTGAAGCAAAGTTGACATCTATTCTTTTTATGTCTCACAGTAACCCGTGCTTTGTTTCCGACATACCTTTCTTATATACTACATTTAACTGAACTTTTCAAATTTTTATGTTCAAGTGGTGGGTTTAAATCAGGACAAGCATTGTTAACGCAACACGTTTATACAATGTTATTTTGATTAACTTAGGGATGTACACCTCTGAGAAGCCAAAAATTTCTAAAATTTAACTTTTTTTTTTAACCAGATTTTGGGGTTTATATGACTATAAAAAAAAAATTGGCGAAGAAAAAATCATATGGTGGTGTACTACTTTTTTTTTGCTACAGCCATTTGAAAGTACCCAATTTTGATGGGTTTCTTATTTTTCATCAAATTTTACCCATTTTTGGACTATTATCATGAAAAAAATCACAGTTTCACGATTAAACTTTTTCATACTTTCACTTAAGATGAAGTGGACCAATCTGAATAGATTTAAATTAATATGTTAATATAAAAAGGTTTTATAAAATTTTGTTGCTTTTTCGTGTCAAATTTACAATGTTGTCAAATTTGTAAATTTGGGATTTTTCTCTTTTTTGAAAACTAAATGCATATTATTTCAACTTCTCTCTTATAAATGATTGAAAAGGTACATATCTAAGAAATTTGAAAAGAAAAAAATTGATATGGGATGTACATGTATCTAGTAAAATCATTTCTTGTACCCTCACCCATTTTCTCAACATTTTGGCTAATGAAACTGACTTGATTGGTTATAAAATTTGAAAATTTTATTTCTCAAAAACTACTTATTGTAAAT